AAGACGAAATCAAAACTTCTTAAGACGGTAAGGTCTAAAATTTTGGCTATATATTTGATATCGCGAGCACTACTTGAGGTAAAGAAGATTTTGCTTAAACCTATACTACTCATGAGTTATGGAAAATTTTGCAAGATTTTCTGAACATTAATCCATCAACAAGTTAACCCATAAATTCGTCGAACAAGTTCATCAAAATAAATATTTAGGAACGTGATTCGATTCGAGGTTCTCTCTCAATAGTCATATCTCTGTGATTAAAGATGAAGTAGCCAAGAATTGTGCACCATTGAAACAACTGGCTCGTAGAAGAATGCTGACTGAGTCCTTGAGTTATCGCCCTTCCAGTGCTTTTATTCGACCTCATTATCGCTCAGTTCTCGATATTTGGTCCGTCTTGTCATTCACAAACTCGAGCCGATGAGCCGCCAAGTGTTTCGCTTTGTTTACCAATGGCATGACGTTTCTAATAGTGAAATCGAATATACACACAGTACGTATAGAAAGGCCAACAAGTTTTTCTAGTAACTTTGTTTATCTTCTACAATCACATCACTTTTCATCCTCCAGTTTTCATTCGACAAGTGTAGATTTCATCTATTTGTCATTATTAATGGATTATTGTTCGTGTCACTATTATCGGCGCCAAAATTCAATGCACTCGATTGTTTTTCGAAGAACTCCAAAACGATAAAAGATAGGGAGTTGCGATTTTCAACAATCGAAAGAAGACAGTTTAACCTAAGCTTTCATCAGCAAAACCCTTTTCCAAAATCATTTGGAAGACCAGTTCCTAGGAGGTCTTTGGAAAGCCTTTTCCTTGAAAATAGCAAAAGACATTCTTGTACGTCGGATATGTATTCTTGATTTATGAAAAAGGAAACTGTTAAGTTTTCTCCAATTTTTCTTTTCCAAACGGTCTGAAATGGAACGTCACAAGATGATGTGTGAGGTTTTCATCCGATTGTTTTCCCAATTCCCAAATACTCCATTCGTCCTCTCGAACAAGTGTTGCTTCAGTGTTGGTAAAATGAATTGTAATTGAAGGGGAAGAGGGTTGGAGGGGGTGTCTGCTCATGTAGGCTCTTCTCTACGAGCTGGTACAAAGTAAATCCCAGATGATGTTACCAGCACAACACATTATTATTATTATATCACAATAAAAATCGGAACTCATTTTTACAATGTCAAAATATTCACAATAATATGAATAATAGTTTTAGTCTTCTTTTTCTATAATAAGAATGGTGATGTTGTGCTCATTCCTCTTGTGTAAGATGATGTTGAATGAATTAAATCGGCGTCGATGGTTTCAGTAGGAGGAGGAGTAAAAGAAATTCGCAAACGAAATGAAAATGGAGTTACTTAAATTGTATCTCCTGCTACAGCTTTTATCCTAGAACTTTCTTTCACATCTCATTCGAATCGCCTTTCAAAGCTCTAGAAAGTTACGTGCACACATTTTTTTTAAAAGTTTTTGTCTGTCAGAAAAAAGTTCAAAGATATTGTAAGTAGTGAAAAACCTTATTTTGGATGTCTTCTGTTTTCATAAGATAAGACTACTGTCGTTATCCTAGTTAACTATAGGTTGAAAATGATGAAGAATTTAATGGACATTATTTGAAGGTATTCGGGAACATTTTTTTGGTTTAGTTGCAAAGGCTATTGACTTAGAAAGCTGAGTTTCTCAGAATTAATACATCAAAGTACAAAGTTTCTTTTGATCTTTCCATACATTGAGTGCCTGCCAATTAGTGTAATCAGTTGGTAGCATACGTATAGAACAGATCCAGTTCCGAGCTCCTTCTCACTCCCTCTCCATCAATCATGCCGCCTCCAGATAAACGCAAAAAACAATCGGAAGCCGTGGGATTCCAGCCAGTAGAAGTGAAAATGGAAGAAGGAGAGATGCAATCAAGCAGTTCCGAAGAAGAAGAAACCTATACTCATAAAGAAGCAAGCTCTACGACGCCGACGAAAGAAGAACTTGGTGAAGAAAGTCTCAACAATAGTGCCTCTGCAGATCCCTTCGACAATCTCGATCTTCCCGCCATCGCCGATTTGTTTGAGATGTGCAAGAGCATGTGTGGTCAACGAAATCTCTCTGTCTTATTGTATAGTTTGATGCGACATGTGGATGTTACCTGGCGTGATGCAGACGATCTCTTTACGAATATTGGTGCTCTACGTTGTCAAGCGTCTCATAAGTGGCTTAAAGTGTTTCTCTCAGGCGATACCGACGCATTCACAGAAGAAGGTCGAGGAGGCAAGCATTCAGATTCATTTTATGATATCTTTCCGGATATCGAATGTGAAGCACGTGCGTATACAGTTGAAGGATGTTTTCGAAAGAATGCAAGTTTTACTTCAGCGGAGCTGGCGAAATTCATCGATGTCAAGTACTACGAAGCGACAGGACAAAAGAAAGTGTCGGAGAAGTTGGTTCGTTCGGAGCAGAGTTGTCGATTGGATATACGAAGATGGGGTGGAAAATTCGAAGCAAATACACAACGACCGTATTTCGAAGGGCATGAAAGAAGTGATGTTGTTGATCATCGAAAAAATTTCATTTCGTATTTTCTGAACAGAAAGGAGCATTACTATCAGGTGGATGATACGAAAACAAGTTATGTGATGCCGACAAAAAAAACCGTGTGTCCTTATCTGTCATGATGAATCGACTTTTCGAAGTGGAGAGGTGTCAGCGAAGCGATGGATGATGTCCTCCCTTACTCCTTTCTATAGTAAGGGGAGGGGAAGAAGTTTTATGATATCGGATTTTCTTGTAGCTCATCCAAGCGGTCCTTTCTTGGCTCTGACTCATTCCAAATATACGGAGGCGAAAAGAAAGTATCCATCACTAGAAGTGGAGGGTGAAACTCCCTTTCGGGGTTATTCTGCTACAGCAGGCATTACTTTGGGCAAAGATGAATATTTTGACAATCAAACTATCTTGAGTCAGTTCGAGCGGTTTTTTCAGTTGTTGGAGTTTAAGACGGAGTTGAAAGATCATGAGATTGAAGTGTTGGTCGACAATGCACGAACGCATTCAGCAAAAGAATACAGCATCAACGAGTTTGGAAAGAAAATTGGTACTCGCTGTCCGGTGGATTTTCTGGAGTTTGTCGATGAAAACGGAGAGGAAGTCAGTGTTTCGTGCTATTTTGACGATGGAGAGTTCAAGGGAAAATCGAAGGGCTTGTTTGTTCATGTACTGAGAAAAAGAAAGAACGCACCACGTGTATGTGCGTTGTGCTCATGGTTACGCTGTTCTCTTCTTTTATTTTTAACTTTTTGTATACACAATTGTGTATGTTTTCTTTTAATAGTCATTTCTTTTTTGTTATCGCAGTGTTAAGATCACTTTGTCGTGCAGTCTACTGCAGCCATGCACTGCTTTTTTTAATTTTCTGTTTTAATATATAAGTTTGAAATATTAAATAATATATAACTAAAATTGTGGTAAGTACACAGGAATTTCAGTGTGTGGAAGCAGAAAAAAATAAGACCTTTCGTTTTGTTCTACATTTGTTACAAAGTTGAGTCGTTTTTCTCCTAACAGTTTTGAAAGTCAAAAACTGGGTTATCTTTGTCAGAAAATGCACAAAATCTAAGAGATTCGCCTATATAGGTTCAATTAGCATGTGGACCGTGTTAAAAGATCTCAAAATAAATACACTAACGTGAGAAATGCACCAAATAGTTGATTATCGTCTCTATATGAGTTTTCTCGGTGTAATATCGCTTTGTTGTTGGTGACTTACAGGGTGTAGCGAAGATCAGTTCGGTCCTGTTTGACGCACAGAGGATAGCAGCATAGTTCCAGAGCACCTCATTCACAGAATGCTAGATTAGCTCTCGGCTCTAGCAACGACCTGTTCATAGCGTTAGTATTTCTCGGATACACATCCTCTGTAAGTACAAGCGTGATGTTTCATCACATACAGCAAACGTTTCCTTACGGTAAAACCCATAGACGAACAATACGATATCAGTCTATCTCACGTATATTTTGAGATCTAATTCCAGTCTCATGACAAACCAGAATTGAAAAATATAAGTGGATACCGTTAGATCAACAGTTGATGATAATCTTGAAGCGTTCACTTTCCAATTTGATTTTCCAAAATACCTTCTGACTTAACCATACTTCAAAAAAACCATTTAGTTCAACTTTGTAACAATAGAAAAGGCGAAAGGACTTCTTCACTTTCCACCAGATATACTGTTCTGAAATAACTCTGTACTTGTTACGTGCATCATGTTCCGAAGAGTAAGCCGGTAAAACATGGTGCACTTAAGTGGCAAATTGGATGCTGACAAAGTATCCTGAAATGCAAACCTCTGATATTAGTCTTTTTCTGATGCTGATCTTTCTGTTTTGTGATTTTACTGTGATTTATCGTAAATAATGTTGAATGTACATGTAGCAAAGAAGAAAAACTGGTATACTTGAGGCAGCTTTATCACAAGGCTGGTTGATATTCCAAGCAAGAAAAGAACACTGTATACATTGAGGTCTGAAATGATCTGAGGAAGCTATTTTCGATCGGATAAATCTAAGATATCTTTGGAGAGATTCAAATCTTGGAAGCAGCGATGCGAAGGACGCACTCCTCTTAAAACACTGTAGATAATTTCTGTTTCTGGAAAAACCGTCAAACGAGCAAAAGATAGGATGGAGCTAAAAGGAGAAAAAATCTGGCGCGACTATGCACGACTCTTGCAGAAACTTATCGCGACTATGCACGATTCTTGCTGAAACTTATCGCGACAATGCAGGATTCTTGCAGAACCGATCTACATAACAGGATTCGCGACGGACCACGACTCTTGCTAACTCGCGTCGCGATTTCGAAAACCAGGCAAGGCTCGCGCCGAGAGAACGCGAGTTTCTTATATAACTAGCAAGATCTTGTCGCGAGAATCACTGTAGCAAGACTTTATAGCGATCGCTAAAAGCGAGTCTTATTTCGCGAGTCCTATAGCGATCGCGTAGCGCGTTCGCGCCGCGACTTTTTAGCGCGACTCGTGCCGCGACTTTCGCGCGAAAATCGACCTGGGAGGTAAGATTTGTTGCATATAATCAAATAAAAATATGCAATTTGAGCTGTTTATCCATACTACAGATTAGGTAGACCGATACCGAAAATACCGACCGGTTTTTGATTTTTTCATCTGAAATGAGATAGTTTAGCGTCGTGGAAAGTCAGAACAGAAAAAAGATTCAGCTGTGTATTCTGAGCATGTGTAAGAACAACTTAAACAGAAAGTAAAGGCATATACTAACGTTCGGTATTTTCGGTATTCGGTATACCGATACCGGTGCATATCTACTACACATTGATTACTTTTGTATATTGTCTTTTATAGGACACATAATTTGGAAGTATATCTGCAATTTCATTACCTCATACCACAAGGACGACAATCATTGTCATCCAATTGAAAAGTATAAAAATGTCCTCACAACGCATAATTGTAACTTCAAAACCATACTGTTATCAACAAGACTTTTTTAATGTAAAGACGAGGCTCATGCCCATTTTGCAAGCAATTTTATTTTTTGATTATTTTATGATTTCCCAAATTGCAAGCAAGAACTTTTTTCCAAACATTGTCTACTTCCCATTTTGCAAGCAAAAAAACTAACCAAAATTTTCCCATTTTGCAAGGATATTATCTAATAGAAAAGAAAGAATATATATTATATATCTAAACGTTGTCTGATTAATTAATCATAATTATTAGGGTACTTAAAACGAATGTTTTTATTAAACCAAATCTGTACTTGGACTATAGCTTATTAACTTATTTTTGCATCTGCAGACGTGTACCAGCTCATTCCTACCTATAGCGGTAATTTACTTGCAATCCGTTAAAACATGGAAAACACATTAAAGAATATACAATTTTATTGAAAAGAGAAGGAATGTTAAAATTTATTTTTTGATTCTTGAAACGGTCTGTATAATCACAATCAGCAGAAAAAAGAATGGCTAATTACTCTGCTAAAAGTACTGCACGTTTCTTCGTAATATTTGCTGCTTTTGATCTTTTATGCATTTGCCTACAGGAGATTTTACTCTGCTATTGTGTCACCTTAGCACAAAAGTGTCTCTGGGCTGTTTTTCTTACTGATCGATGCCATGAAAAGTCACTACTTACGAAGAAAACTCCTGAGGTGCCAAAAATCTTTTTGAATGGGACTATTTTTAAAACGTAGGCTCTCATACGCTATGAAGAACCCTGACCTGATACTGGCACAATCAGCGTTGTTGCTGAGACATCGTATTTTTACTCGAAATTTCCTCATCAGACCTGGATTTTAAGCGAAATCGAAGTTTTGAATTTCATGTTGACACTTATCACATACTCTAGCCCCGAAAATTTGTAGTCCGATAAGAAAACGTCGTGCTGAAAACTCTTTCGACTGCGGTGAAAGAATTTTTTCCAAACTTGCTGCAAGTTCTACTTTTGCTACACATATGGAAAAGGTTCTTTCATTACTTTATTATTCATACATTGTTCTTGGTTAAGAGTAAACTATTCCGTATCCATGACGAATACGGAATAGTTTACTTTAAACCACCAGCAAACTAAATCAATCAGCTGATTGGATAACCAGTAAAAACAGAGATTATCTGTTTTATTTTTGTTATTGAACAAATCATTTAAAAAATTTATCAGTGTCGTAAAATTCTTCCTGTAAATATTTTCTTTGATTGATTTCGTGCTCAGATTTGTTTTTTTTTTGGTGATTATTTCGACAGAAAGAAATTTGATAGGCAAATACATAAAAGCAATTCACTCATATACAACAAGAAATATGAACAGAACAGAAAAAAACTCACTTTATTGGAATAAAGAGGTACGAACTGTCTTCGTACGACCTTTACTTCTTGTCTTGTCAGATTTATTTTCTGTGTGCAGGGATAAAATTTCAAAGAACATCAATTGTTGACATACTTCATACATCTCTCATATTTCTGTTCATAGTCCTTCCTGTATATATTTTCTCTGATTTAAAAAAGGACCTTTTTTCATCGCTCTATAATGGTCTAGGCCACAATATGTGATAAGTTTCAACAGGAAATTCAAAACCTGGAATTTTGCATCCAAGTCCCATGGCACAAATTCGAGTAAAAATACAATGTCTCAGCAACAAAGCTGATTGCACCCGAACCAAGTCGGGATTCTTCATAGGGTATGAGGGCCTGCATTTAAAAAATAGGTTCCTTCGTTAAACATGTGTCGTAATGATCCCACTTTTTGTATTTCGTTTTTGTATCTTTTCTAGGATCTCAATCAAAGAAGATTTAAATCAAAAATAATCAAAAAATTGAAAATACTGATCCCTACTCACTTCTGAACAGAGAGAGCAGTCAGTAAAAGGCCCCGTAAATCGACTCCAATTAATATACTAGATACCAGTTAAATCATTTTTTAAACAGTTTTTAATTGTGTATTCTTCCATGGTATTGGAAACTATTGCGCTTTAGCAGAAAAAAAATTTTAGTCAAATCACTAAACGCGATGAATTAACACACATAATGGAACTGAAGTGTCAATATTTTTTGTTGTAAAAGCTATTTAGGCTCGAAAACACCCAATTATGAGATAAGCAATCATTTTCCACAAAACTAGACCATTGGATGCAAATCAGCTTTGTT